ATCTTGAAAGCCGGACTACAAATGTGGATAGACAGGGAGAAACACACGCAAGCCTAAGACGTGGTAAGATACGATATTCCTCACTATATGAAGTGACTGATAACAAGATCTGTATAATGGATTGTAAAGAAATTCTTCAGGTTTTTATTTTGTAGACAATCAATCTGTATTTATAGCGTGATGGGATGACAGTACAATGATGTGTGTTGTATCCCTGGAAAGCTCTGGTCCTGCGCTTTCATGTAATATATGTGGCATTTCTGTGTGAGCCTGCGTTCGCGAGTAATCCATCCAACAGTAATGTGTGTACAAAGCTGTATGAAAACTCTGTTATACTACATCATTTTGGTGTAACTTTATCATTTTTTTTCACTGTGAAAACATTGGACTACAGACAAGTGCTTGGCCTTGTTGGAAAGCTACAGTTCCGCTGTAACGCACGGTCACGGAGAAAATCCACAGAGAAGAACGGGTGTGAATTTGGACGCACTATGCGTCGTTCGGGCCCATAGGGTTAAGGTGCATTACCCCATCAATGGGCGTATGGGGTGTTTAATAATATGAGGGTTTTATCAAACATTTATTATATCTTTATGGAGGAAAATTTGTCAGTTTATTTATTGTTCATTACCTGAAACATAATAGGGCATTTTTACAAGCAGAAATTACGACTCATATTTGTGTTTTTGTTAGCCGAGGACCTCTAGTGGCTGTGGTAATTATAACAGCAGAGCCGGGGCTAGCTGGGAGGCTAACTGGCTGTGTTTCCCTCCGGTCATGCTTCAGCTAACGTTCCGCTAGCTGCTAGTGAGGAAATAAAACCTGAACAGCCAATCAGAGTGATCTCTCTCACCGACAAGCTCCGCTGCCGATTCAACGTGCTGAATCGGCCAAAAAGCTGCAGATGCTGAAGTGCTGATGGTGCGGGACACACCGCCGACAGACGCTCACCGACGGCCCGACTTTGGTCAACGGCCGACCGTCGGCTTGGTGTGTCAAAGCCTTAAGGAGCATAGACTGTAAATAAAGATGGATGACGTAACCGCTCCTCATAAGTGAAGCCAAAATATCGTCCCCTGCTGGCTAGCTGTAGTACAGGCCATAAAGCTCGCCCCTGCCCGATCTTTTCATAAACCTAGCCAAAGAGTTTTAGTGCAGCAGTGACCAATTCCTAACCTTGAACAATTGCTGAAAGCTGCCATTATTATGGAATCACTGGCCAATGTTTCCTGTAATCATTTAGTTCAGAATGAAACTTCCGTTAGTCAACATTAAATCTGTATCTGTCTGTTTTTTTTCTGACATGCACACTAGAAAAATGTTTTGGATGAGATTTCTGAATAGGAATATTGTGAACTCTGGTGGAATCTGATCACATTAGTTACATTGAGTTAGCCAGTCTTGTCTTTATTTTCTTTTTCTGGTTAATGGTGGGTGGCTACTGCAATTTAAGGTGCATTACTCTCATCAATGGGCGTACATTGAGTTAGACTGGTGCTTGTAAGTGATTATCGTCCTCTGTGTAACCAATAAACATCTTAATTCAAATGTCTATATGACTTTCTACACACCATGTTTGTGTTTATATTTCCCTCTCATATTGAGCCTGGTAAGGCCGCTGTGTCATCCAGCAGTTTGTTGTGTCAACTTGAGGCTGCAGGGCAGACATTAAAGTTGACCAGGGATAAGAATTAATCCACTTACTGTCAGCCATTGTGATGAGTCATTAGATGTCTGGAGGTGCTGAGAATACCTGGGTAGTAACACAGATGGGAAGAGCAGGGAGTGAGGATGATGGGTAGGATGTTATATTTCACACTTAAATACAAGACAAGTGATGTTAAATAGTCCAGGAAACAGTGCAGATTTCTTACAGCTGTTCAGCTTAACCCAGACCAGCTGATCATCAGCTGATCACCCAGTGGTTGGCACTCCATGGAATGGTTGGAGTGTCAACCACTCACAAATTCATATAATCATTTGCTTTAGTTGCCCTTTCAAAAGGGCAATTGCAATGATGTGCAAAAGACAAGTTCAGTTTTTGCTTTTATTGTCTGAATCATCATTTTAAAAGTAGTGCTCATTCTCCCTCCTTTTAAAGAAAAGGTGAATTTATAAGGAATAACATACCCTTGCTCATTTCAGTACACTTAGGGGTTTGTTACTTGGTTTGGTATCACCAGTAATTTGTGGTTGCTAATGTTGATTATATTAATGTTAGATATTGTTGTGCAACTGACATTATGTCATAACTCTTCACTTGTTTACAATGTTGTATGATGTCCCAGATAAACATTTCAGTGGTTTTATAACTGAAGTAGAACAAGTGGTAACCCAGCATATCAAGAGACATGTTTCCTGCATGTGGTGCCATTTTACTTGCTCTTCAGGCTCCTACAGACCCCATCTTTAGAGATTTTAACAAAGTTTAGTGCAGCTGCACTGTGTAACATGGATCTAAAAACTTGGGTACTATATCAAGTTTGATGTATGTAGACTGTACAATGACAGGGCCCACTGAATCGCAGGCTACGACGTATAATAGCTTCCTGTACTGAGTGCACAAGGATGCTACATGGGTTATTAAACTGTGAAGCACAACATAGAGGGTCACATTATTAAATAACCCAATGTTCTGTGGGCACTTTATACTGTGGTATGTCTGTTTGCTAGCCGTTAGGTTGCTCACCTCGCAGCTGCAACTCCTCTGCTATTTCCTTCCATGCCTCGTCCTTCTTTAAGCGATCATGGTAAGAGCCCGAGAACACATCATAAAGGCAAGGCGTCTGCTGCCACATTTCGACTAGTTTTCCTCTTTGCTGGAATCCCACACATTTCTTTTAGCTTGTTTTGACTCCATGACAAGCTGCTATCCATCTGTTTGTTTGGGTTTAGCACCAGTGTGTCATTTCATGCTGCATTTCTATTGGTTGGTTAGTAAACATAGGTGGTAACAGCAGTCACAGAGTGAGTTGGTTTTTATTAATGATAATGATAATAATAATAATAATAATAATAATAATGATACATTTTATTTGTATAGCACTTTCAAAACACTCAAAGACACTTTACAAAAACAAAAAGAACAAAAAACAACAACATAAGAGCAGTACAACACAGTAGAGCAAGAATGGTGATTGAATGCAAGCCTGAACAGGTGGTTTTTTAGCAAAGATTTGAAGGAGTTTAAGTCTGTACAGTTACAGATGTGTTGGGGGAGAGAGTTCCAGAGGGAGGGGGCAGCAGTGGAGAAGGCTTTTTCAAATTTTCCAAATTTCTGACACTGTCAGAATTTAATCCCAGGCAGTTTTTGAATGCAAGACCGTGACAACGGCCATCCTTGGGCCTCTCTCACTGTGTGATGTAGGACCACCGTTTTAGAGCCACGACCAAAGATATCGCCACGTTTCTTTCACATTGCTCATCTTTCATCTGGGACAGTCCAAAATCACACAGTGGATACCACGCTCTAGTCCGGTCGCCTCATCCTGTAGTTGCCACTCGTGCCTACAGTAAGTACGGTTGAGAGAAATTCAGTCGCCTTGCACTCCATTTTTATTGACTATAGGCCTGCACTCATTTGTTTTTATTTTTTCTTCCTCCACTAGATAATTGATCTGTTTATTTAGAAAGTTAGAAATCAAACTGTGCCTTTTTGCCAAGTCCTAACAAATTTTTTTTTGCACAAACCAGTGATTTATCAAAGGTTAATCACACACACAAAATATTTAGATTTCATTATCCATCTCTTCCTGGTGACAATCACAGTTTAAGACAGGCTTATCTGTTTCTCTGCTTTTTTTCCAGCTATGAGTGTGACTGTGAGGGGACAGGCTTTGAAGGTGACCATTGTGAAGAGGATATTCTTGAATGTGCTTCTGACCCCTGCCAGCATGGAGCCACGTGTTTGGAGGGGATCAACCAATACCAGTGCCTCTGCTGGCCAGGTACACCATGACTACACTTGTTAAAAACCAACTCTCAAACATTGCAGTAGTCATACATTAACCTGCTGCTCAGTAAAAGATACATTGTTATATAGTTATTACACTTGGAAAAAAAAGCTAGAACTTGCACACATAAAAAGTGTCCTCAGGCTTTAAGTTACCCACACATATATCAGGACAAGAGGTGGATAACGAGCAGGGCTGTGCTTTGCAACATGCAGAATTTCCGGTAGAGCTCTTTATAAAACAACACAAATTCAAATCCTTCATTGCTGTGATGAATTATGAAAAGTGATGCATGAGCACACTGCAACAGAGAGAGATGCAGATGTCAGCAGACTTCATCTGATTTTTGCTGTCATAGTCTGTGTTTATGTGTGTGTGTGTGTGTGTGTGTGTGTGTGTGTGCGTGCGTGCGTGTGTTTGTGTGACTTAAAGAATGGGCTCAGATTTTTCTTCCAATACAAGACTCTCACATATTGTAAGCTAGAATAGATGCCGTTTTACTGTAATACTGATACTGATGCATGTCCCCAAAATGTTTCTGCAATAGAGCAATAGGAGATAGGAGACCAAGAACGTGGCCAAGCACAGTTTTGGATATAAATAAATAAGCATCTGTCCAATGATCAAAAAATGTTTATTTTTAATGTAGGCGTCCCAAATTGTCAAAAGTCGTGGTCTTACCTAGCTTTGAAGTTTTGAAGGTCCATGCTGGCTTGAACCCTGGAATCACCGCTTGTGGCTATATATTTATTTTTTTTTAGTGTGCAGTTTTCTTCGAGGAACGTTTCTTTCAAGGCTGTGGCCATGGAGTCAACATTGGAGGGGGACCAAATCTGCACGCCCCCCCCAAACACACACCCTTACTTCTTGCCATTGAAATTCTAAAATAAAATATGTACAAGTTCACACATGAGAATGAATGTCTAAGACACCAAAGTGAACATGGAAGATCTATTATCAGATAATAAGTGCACTGTAAAAATGAATTTGTTGGCTCAACAAAAAAAAAAAAAACAAGTTATCTTGCTGCCTTAAAATCTTGAATTAAGTGAGTTAAAGATACCTAGTTCTTTACACTTCCAAGCAAGTTCCTATCACTTACAATATTAAGTTAAAGTGACTGATCTGAAAGTGACAAACACTTTGATCAACTTGATATTTTAAAGGGGCAATAAGCAAAATCGTTTCACCGCTAGGTTTGCTGTTGTGCACTGCCTGTAGAGCAAAACAAAGTGTGTCATGAGCCACTCCTCCCTCTACCTCTGCTCTCACGCCCCCCCCCCCCCTCCTTGT